GCGTTCTTCCCCCCACCTGGCAACAACAACATGCCCCCTAATGACAGCCGAGGGCCCCCTGGACCAAATGACCCATACGGACGGCCACCACCATATGAGAGAGGGGACTACGGTCCTGGAGGCCGGTAAGAATCGGCACAGCAATTTATATAATGTTCTCTCACAATAATTTGACTACATTGGCACAATGTGTTGATGATAAGAATTATGCACCAGAAAGTTGCTGATTTACACACGTTAAAGATAGTTCGCATTGGTTGCAATGAAAAGTGTCAATATTTGAACTCGGGAACTTAACATGTCGTGACCCCTGTGTTGTGTTTTTTATCGTAGGGAGATGGAGGCCTCCCGGACACCTCTGAGTGAGGCAGAGTTTGAGGAGATCATGAACAGAAACAGAGCCATCTCCTCCAGCGCGATATCTAGAGCAGTGTCTGATGCCAGTGCAGGTAAAACACAGTAATATACGATACATACTATACTCATCAAGACAAAACCTTGGAGCAAATTAAAGCTAATGCAACCTTGTGTTTTCTTTAGCTGACTATGGCAGTGCTATAGAGACCTTGGTGACAGCCATCAGTCTGATTAAGCAGTCCAAAGTGTCAGCAGACGACCGTTGTAAGGTCCTTATCAGTTCCCTGCAGGACTGTCTCCATGGCATTGAGTCAAAAAGCTACGGTTCCGCCTCCAGGTAAGATTTTAATTTACTGCATTAGTCATTAAATGTGACTGAAACTGTTTACAAGTTATTCTAAAAGGACACAGCTTGTCAGAATATTTTGGATTTAGCAAAAATATAAAGAGATGGGATTTGTCTCCCATTTGATACGGTCATGCCTGTGTTTTTAATATTATCTATATTACAATAATTATTTTGTCCCTAGAAAAAATGATATTTAAAACTTGGAACCCTGTCTAATGATGCTTCTTGGTCTCCGCCAGGCGAGAGCGCTCCAGGGAACGAGACCACAGCCGCTCCAGAGAAAAGAGCCGAAGGCACAAATCCCGCAGTCGCGACCGGCACGAGGACTATTACCGTGAACGCAGCCGGGAGCGTGACCGCCATCGCGAGAGGGACCGGGACAGAGATCGTGAGAGAGAGAGGGAGAGGGAGTACCGACACCGCTAGACGATAAGGAAGGTGGGTACAACTGGTCTCCCATGTTATCTCCCTTCATAAGCTCTCTTCTGTCTTCTTCATCATTACATTTATCTTAGACTTGGACTTGAGCCAGTCTAGTTCACGCTCGACTAACCTTCAACTACATGGCAGAAGGAGAAAAACACCAGCGTTTGAGATTGAAAAAGTCTGCTTTGATTGCTTACCTCCTCTCTTCTTCATTGGAATAATGGCCTCAGTTTAGCACAAACCAAATTTGCTGTAGGGATTCTCTATAGAGAGTTGTCAGGGAAATCTTCTCTTGAATACACTTGTGTATGCCATAAAGGGCTTTTGAACATTTTCAGTCATATAGTCAAACTAGGTTACAGCTTAAAAGCTAAGTATTAATTTAAACGCCCCTATATGAATATTTGAGGAAGGGGGCAAGGAGAGACGAGGTAAGCAAGGTAACGACTTTTAAAACTCAGTCCTTTTTGGTTTCAGGTAGGTTTAAGGTAAGTGCTTTTCTTAAAATGTCATAATGTGATGACAGTTGTGTTATTGTGTATTTGGTCTTTCAGACAATATGTGTTAAACAATGTATTCACAGAGGGGTTTGTAAGAGCTGTATCTATGCTGTGGTTCTCCCCAAAATCAGAAAATACAGTGATAGTTACTGGAAATTGAATTTGTGGATGCATTGTTACCTTTTGGTCTACATGCCCTTGAGGCTGGTAATCTGCAAAATTTGTCAGCCACTTTTTGTACTCAAATAAAAAAATAAACGATGAATTCTCTGACAGATAACACGAACATGTGTAAATGGTAAGACAGCAGTACCAACCTGCTGCTTGTATATGGCTGTGGTGGGTAAGGTTTTGTACTTTTTGGCAGGTCAGAGACTCTGTATATACACCTTTTTTAATAAACATCTGATTGGCTCGTACAATTTTGGTTTTACCAGCAGCTATGGCCAGTGGACCAAAATAACTTCATTTATTTGGCTTCAATATCAAGGTTTAATTCTTACTTGCCATTTCTTTATATGTGAGTTTAAGATAATTCAATTGTGACTGCTGAGTTGGTTTGTCAGTGTGCTTGTTATAATAGTTCCTTGACTGATTGGCTTCAATGGTTTTAGATGTCTTAATTTTTTACGATACCTAGTACAGATTTAGCCTTTTGTGTGGTCTGTTTGTTCAGATTGTAATTTTAGCAAAAAAAAATTACAATGTTCAATTTGTCGATAGACCAATCTACACTTTGTAAATGTTCCATTCATAGAAATGTTGTATACATATTATCATTTCAGTTTAAAATGAAAATATATAATTTTCATGTTTTATAATTACGAGAAGGTCGCAATTTATCAGTGTCAATATCTGATGATTTTTGGACGCAAAATTTTTTGACAATGTGATTGTGTCATATTTGCATGTCAGTAATATTGCCTGACATTTTACTTTTGTCAAATTGAATGTTTTGTAGCCTAGTGTTACTCATAACCATTTTACCTCAATTTAAGACATTGAGGTGAAGTGAAAAAATGAAAGGAAAAAAAAATCATACCCTTTTGATATCCTGTTCTAGTACACATATAGTCACAGATCATTTTTTGAGGCAAAGGAAAAACACAATTTGATACTCTGCATTGATAGATCACTGGCTTTAAATCGAAAGAATTGGTTTAAATCAGAATTGGTTTACATGAAGGATCTTGACTTATTCATATTATTAGCAAGAGTATATGATAATTCTAAATTGGAACTCGAAAGACAGGATAAGAAAATCATTGTTTTTAAATCCTACGTTTCTTTTGGCTGGCACCAGGCCGTCAATAGATGTTTAATTTTATTTTTATTTTTTAAGTTGAGTTGCCTTCAGTTAAAGTAATGTAGCTCAGTTAAACTAAATGAAATAAGTTTGGATAATAATAATCAATATAATTTAATTTAAAGTAAATAAAAACTACAATTTTAATGTCAATGCAGAAAATTCATGATAACATGCCAATTGTTATTTGACATTGGCTGATATATAGAAGAAATATTTGTTTTTTTGTGTGATTTTTGTATGTACATTGAAATGATTTCCATTTAGGCTGCAGTGTTGATGAATGATAAATAGCCCTAGGTTGCCAAGAGATCATGAAAGTATTTTTGGCACATAGAATTATGTGTTTTGCTGGCATTTTGGATGTTAAGTCATGTTATGAATGAGTTGTAGATGAATTTATCTGAAACTACTTGACACCAACTTGTACATAACTAATAATGATACCACACTGACTACGTTTTCATGCATAACATATTCAGTTTTTTGCCCTTATTCCGAAAAAGACAGTATTCCTACTAAGCTGTTTACATGATGAATAAAAAATAAATATTCCACTCCTATTCCTGTTACATGCAGTTGTACATACTCCGATTAAAATAGCTGTAAATGACGTACTGTACGTTCTACGGAGGAATTTCCCTCCTTTTTCCCTTTGCTTTCAATTTGTAGTCATGTTGCTACTGCGTTAAAAGTGGAACAGCTTTAGCCATTTTGCCTTTCTGTATCAAAAGAGGTATTAAAGAAGTTTTCCACCAGTGGCAGACTTGTTTGGCTGTGCAAACACTCTTTCTTTCATTCACTCATTCAACCACCTTCTTAAAAAAAGGTCAGTGTTGCACTATTATAATATTGTCATCCAATCTTTCATAATGTTTAAAAGTAGTTGTGTTCTCCTTTCGAAACAGAAATGTTTTTTGTGCATGTATTTGTTGGCTAGTTGGTTTGTTTACAACGCACCGTAAACAGGCAAGAGGCCATGTGTCACAAACTGCAGTAAAAACCCCAAATTCACTCCCTTTCTGAAGAATGCTTCTTAACCTTTATAATATTGACATATCCCACATGTCTTAATCGGAGAATGCTAAATTCGGAATATGCTGGTTACATGACCCTTATTAAATGCGGAATATTGTCATGTTGGGAATAATTGCAGAAAATCAGCGTGCATGCAAACTTAGTCATTGTCAAGGGTCTGAAATTATGAGTTAAATATTTTTTAGGTAAATTTTTTGAGACTCGCTGGTGTTTTCATGGATTCTCCGTGTTAGGGTTTTACCAGTCATTTTGTAATCTTTGTGGCAAGATTCCATTGCGTCACTTGCGTATTGTCCAACTTTTGTAAAGTTTTGGAACTGCAGTTGAAATATATCTGGTTTGAACGATATTGTGTATCGTTCTGATGTCCTTTACTGCCAAAGCACTAACATGTCTGTGGTGTTATGTATAAACCAGTCTTTTTATAGAGCAGAGTCTCGTACGTTACATGGAGCCTTCAGCATCTCTGTACAGTTGCACATCGCCCCAAATAATATTTCTCATCATTTTAAATAAGCTTTCAGACATATACTTGATTCACATTTTACACCTTAATGTATACATGTGCACTCACATGGATATATGTTTTATACATAACACAACAAACAATTTATTATTTATATATGCACTTGTATTACAAGTGTTTCCGTTTTTCCTCATACTGAGAAATATTAACTGGGGTGGTTTTGCTTGTGGAGTTGCTGAATTCTAAAAGCAGGCCAAACCTAAAAACCAAGACAGTGTTATTTAGTAACTGTCTCAGTAATCTGTCATGTGATATAAAGTAGAGTTATGCAGATTTCTAGCTGTCAGCCCTAACTAAATTGATCTAATCTCTGTTCCACCCAATTGTCCCACAACAGTTTTTTACTGAAAGACTTTGTATCCACTGGGAACCTCTTTACAAAATATTTCTTATTTTGTTAAAGAGAAGTCTTCCATGTTTTCTTTCACTGGCAGCATATCTTTTGTAAATTTTCAGAGTGGCAACAGATAATTTATTTAACCCTGTTAAGTTGTTTTCTTTTTTTAAATGAGCACTGCATTTCGATAGAAGCTTTGCACTAGCAATGACTGCAGTCTCCTCTAACACTTTATCTCTGTTAGAGAAGAGATCCCCAGTGGGCACAAGGCCTGATAACGTTTGGTAATTTGTAGTTGTCTAAAATGCATTTGAGTATAATTTTTACCAAAATGTGTCTTGCCGTATAAATGAAATGACTAAAGATCTAAATCTGTCTTTGCATTCAGTCTGGTATCTTGGAGCATGGTAACGGGGGAAAAAAAGAGAAATAAGCATATTGCTTTTATTCCTGATAGTAGTATGGCTATTTGTTGTGTCCACAGATATGCTTTAACACTGTTTTATCTGTTCATATTGCCATGGGGGAATGTACACTGTTTGCACCCGGCTGAAATGACTTTTTATGCTATCTCTTCAGTCTGTCTGTAGGTGTATGTGTGTTGGGAATCACAGCCCCTTTTCAAACTAGCATACTAATTGCTCATGTTAAACCAGGGTCAAACAGAGTTTCACATACAGGTCAGTGAGAAGCATTCATGCTCATTTTAAATAACAGGCTGTAAACAGAGTTTGTCCTTTAATAAATGTGACTCTTGAAGGCCCAAGGCCAGGAAATAGAATAGGGAAATTACAATATTGTCTAGTTCTCAAGTTATTATAGTCAACAAATCAGCTATGTAGTTAGTATAGATTTAGCAAAAGTATACATTTTCCACACTTTGTTCACTATTAACTATTTTCTGAAATACCAGAAGCATTCTATAAGCCTTTCTGAACATATGATATGATTAACAGTGGAAGCAAGGTGTTGTGGTGACCACAGGCTTGCTAAATGTAATCTGTAAAAAAAAAAAAAAAAGGAATTTTTCAAATGGTAAGTATCACATCTCAGGCAGGTTCGTGTAGGGCTTTCTAGCAGCTAAACAAGTTGGAAGTCAGAGTATTTCATGGACTGCTTGACCCTGGTTTGGCTGACATATGACACATTTTATAATATGGCAAAAGATTTGTTGTAATTTTAGCATGGACAAAAGTTCAGTCATGTCCATTCCCACTTGTACTGGTGTAATAAGACACTTTTAAATAATAGTGTGACAAGAATCACCATTTGACCACTGTTATGTAAAATATTGTTATTGTCAGCTGAACTGTATTTATCTGTAGCCATGCACCATGTAAAACTAAACCCTTTCAACAGCAGAAACGTATTGAGTTTCAGTATGCATTTGAACCATGTAAAATTATCTGTACTTCACCTGCCTGTAATTAAGGCTTTCTTTGGTGCAGATACCAGTTCTAATTCACCCTGTAAGGAAAACCTTGTGTCATTGAGCCTTAATTGGTTTGATTTTAAATAAGAGAATACCTAGCACATTTGAAATGACTTTCTGTATCAGAATTGTTGTCATTTCATTTGTTAAGAGGTGCTTTACCATTGTTGACAGTCTAATCGACCATTGCTGCTGCCATTTATAAGTGGTGAATGATAATGAGGTTGCCTTTCCAGTTTCCTGTACCTTGCATGCTAGCCATGCTGGCCATGCTGGTCTTTCTCCATTATAAGTACAAAATATTGCAGTTTATTCACTGACATTATGTCATGTCTACTAGACCATAAAGGGGCATATATATAACACTCACTGGGCGATTGTGGCAAAGTATCACCTGTTGTGCCTGAGTCAGATGCGTGCCTTTCTCTTCGTAGTTTTGTGTTTTGATCTACGGCTCTTTTTTTTTGTCCTTTCTGTGTCTTTTACTCCTGTATTGGTTCATTTCCTGAAGTGTCGCAACCAATCATGCACTTTCTGTGTCAAAGTGGTTAAAGTTTTCAGTTTTTAGCTTTGTACCTCATTTTATCATTACCAGTTGGTTGAAAAGAAAAATATGAGACTTTTAGCTATGGTTGGGAGAAGTGGCAGCAGGGGGAAACATTACTTTTAGTTCATTATTCAGTCAAGGTATTTAAATCCAACTACTAATGACCCATGTCTTCAACAATAAAAAGCCAGTTAAAAGACCTCACATGGGTAGTAGGCAGGTGTTGTAGAGTACCTTTTGGTTACATAATTGCATTCTAGTAATCTAGTAAACCTTACATTATTGATAGGTTGATTTCATGTGAGATTTATTCTGATGTTGTCTTTGCTTAACAGCGCAGTACAGCATGTAATATCATTTCACAATTATATTTCAAATCACACAACTCAGAACAGATGCTATATAGTGCAGAACTGATCCCGTTTAGCCAGGTGTACACTGTATATATGTATGGCTCAGTTAAACTGTCCACAAAGGATGAGTCTTGGCCAATCCAGCATAGCTTTGTCCTTTTAGATTTAACATTTTCCGTCACGTTCAACTGAGAATTTGGGAATTCAGTGTACACACAGTAGGCAATTTTGTAACACAAATCACAGTCCCAAGTCTTGAAATTTATATTTTCTAAATGGATGTCAATTATTTTATGTCAAAAGAGCGACATGTAAGTTGCAAGCATTTTATACATGCATTTACTTCACATGCATATAAACCGTTTCAAATCCAACAGTGATGAATTGCATTTAGGCATAGGCTTGACTGAATATTGTTATATCATCTGGTGTGTGTATAATAGAATTCAAATTTGCTTCTTGAATATTTCCTGTTCAAGTTTGCATGACATGTTTCTCTGTCTGTGCTAGGGTTGGGGGCAATACACAGTCAACTGAGCATTAAGAGAAACAAAATTTAATGTCCTTAAAGGAAATTCTACCTCGTTTTCAGATACTCTTTTTAAGTATTGTTGACCACACCCCTGTCAGAATAAAATGTTTGGTAAGTGGGCGACCGCCAAAGCTTTTGATTTAAGGTGACGGTGAATTGAACCCAGCCCTGGTGTGCACTATGTATGTGTAGTCTAGAGATTTAATGTTGAGGGAGAGAAAAAAAGTGTTCACTGTTGGGCTGCCTCGAAACCAAACTCCACCCTTCGTTTTGACACCTTTTCAGCTAACGAGGCTCAAGGATGGATGGAAGGAAAAGGAGGGAGAATTTCAGTGCGCCACCACCTCCCCACCCTGCATGACCGGACAGGATTACAACCACCACCTCTTCCTCCTCCTCCCCTCCATCTCTCCTCTCCTCTCCGTCTCCACCCATCCTTCTCTCTGTCTGTTCATCTTGTCTGCCTGACTAAGAGCAGTGGATGGAAGACCCTGACCTGTGTAAGGCTATGTTATCTAAACATCTATACTCATGGTAACTAAAGATGAAAGAAAAGAAACTTTCCAAACAGCTCTTTTATTTTTACGATGTTTTATTTGACATGAAGATGACTACGTGTGATGCTTTTTTGCAAAGAAACAATAAAATGGCCCACACAATCCCCCACCTAGAAGACACAAACATTACATCCTATTTTGTTTTTTATTTTTCCTTGGCTCGCTGTACTGTGTACATTCAGTTTAGAGATCAGTTTTTATAGGGTGCATATTTGATGTTTTTTCCCTACCCCTCCCTCTCATTCTCATTTATTCTTTTCATGGTTAGTATGTTTGTAAATGTCTTTCTGCTTTTGATTAAAAACTAGATGGTGTTGTAATAAAAAATGTTTACTGAGGTACTCGATGCATTTGGTGAATTCCTCTACATGTTTGGCTCATTTATATTAAATGTATATTTTGGACTGCGGACTGTTTTTCATATTGAATTTGTCTACACGTAAATCCTTTTTCTTTCTTTTTCTTTTTTTAGCTGTATTAGCCAGCAGCTTTATGTTTTAGTAAATAGAACTCTGTCATTTAGTCCCTTTTTCTGTTATTTTGTGTTTTTATTTTTCAAATGGATAAAACTTGCAAGGTAAGACAAAGTAGACATGTACTTTTTTTTTTAAATGTGCAGTGATCGTTGGAAGGGCAGATATGTCGACCATGAACATGTAGATGGTCTATATGGACATGCAGCTCTTTGGGACTACACACTGTACACCAAAAAGCACATACTGTTCACAAAGTAGTTTCTGTTTGTGTGTGAACGCACTGAACCGCTATTATCATGAACCCAATTGTCTATGAAGTCCTTGTTTTGTTAATGTGAAATATTTTCATTCTTCTGCTCAGTAATGCTAGTAAATTCAAGCAGCAGTTGTGCTTAACATGGAATTGGTCATGCATACATATAAATTAATATATTTTCCAACACTACCCTGTCACACCTTAAGATAAACCTTTAAACAAAACGAACAAATTCATTTACAGTTTGTAAAATATAGACTGTGCACCATAACACTAGTATTGTTATCATGCAATGCACCGCGTGTTTTCTCTTTTTTTTCCCGCCACCCATCGTGTTCATGTCTTGCATTTTGTTTAAATACACTGTGATTGTCAGCACTTTGTGATAGAGGTTTTAGTTTGTAATGTTTAAGATGATTGGTTTGGCAAATGAGCACTGAGATACATGTATGTCTTTTACTCTCTACAACCAAAATCTATTTATACATTCAGCCTAGATTTTACCTTGCGTTGCGTGTTAAGGCCAGACCAGTTATTGAATTTTAGGACATAAGAATCTGAGTGTTTCGTTAGTGTCACATTGCTGTTTGTTCCATTTGTACTCCAAAACAAAGGAATATGGATCAAATTAGATTAAAATGTAAATTCTTTTGTATGAATACAACAAAAGACTACATCACAGATAAACACTGATTTTAACAGGTAAGCAAACAGCTCCTGTTTCAGTGGTCCACAATGCATCCCTTTATTGTTTAAATCGAAGAATCTTTTGTGTTTATCGGTTTACTTGTCAAGATGATTGTTCTTTTGTTTTGTTTGTATTATTTTAAATCTGTCGTGTCGGTTCAAATCCATGACCATCCCCTGAAATATTGCATCTACAAAGGTATTTAATGATTGTAAATATTGCTGACCATAACTTCCATCTAGTCATTTTAATGGCTACAGGAATCACTGAACTTTTAAAAGCTGTTAATCAGTGTAGCAGCATCCAAGCGTTTTTAAATCCGTCATGATGCTCTTGAAATGTCTTTTTCTAACTCTACACTTAAAAAGTAGTATTATATTCTAATTGTTGATCCCTTTGCTCCTATAACCCTGTAAACTCTGTAAAAGAGTAATAGGACAAATTGTACATTGGGGTTTAGGTACAAAAACAATGTGAAAAAGTGGCATTTCACTCTGAAGGGGGAATCATCTTAATGCTGGACAATTCCTTAAGAAACTCCAATAGTTTAAAGCTGTCAGTTATTTTGGCTGACTGGACCTCTTGTCTGCGCCTCCATATTATGAATCTTTCATATACATTGGCTTTTTGTGGCCTTCAAATTCAGCTCCACTCATTGTCATCCTGAGCAGAGGTCTAATCAGCCAGAATAAGACCGTCTTTGTGCAGGGCTTTCTGTAAAACTACTCAGAAGTTCTCTATGTTGCTGCCTTGTGCTGACTTCTCTCCACAGCGCTGACGGTAAGTGTTTACAGGTCACTGCTGAAGAAGAAAAAGTCTAGGCTCTACTGCATCAACCAAGACTTTACATCATGTAAGCAGTTGGAAAGTATCTTGTGTGTTTGTGTTTTCGGTATTTGACTTGTGTAAAGGTAGGATCATTTTTACCAGCCATTACCTGATCTTAAGCTACATTTCCCATTATCTGTTAGCATTATCTAACAGATAATTTAATGTTGAGAAATGTTGCTGTTGGCCCAAACTGAAACTCCCTAAAGTGCCACATGGGTAAAACTTGTAACTTCATATTTGATCATTTACAGTTGATTTCTCTGTCTGTAAATGTAATTGATCGACCTGCCCAGTGAAAAGCAGGGCCTCTAAGGGCTACATGACTTGTGTCTTGCAACAACTCTTATTGGTATTCATTATTAATGTAATTTGGGTTTATACATTAATGGGATCAGTTCTAATTTATTTACAACTGTACCACTGCCAGCAATGTCCTGTTCTTGTTGCACACTTACTGTTCGGGAAAGGCACATGGAAGCCAAAGTAACCAAATGGTCTCAAAAAATAAAACATTAATAAATTCAGTTTGGGTTTGTAGTTTTCCTTTGTACGTAATGCATCAAATTATTCTTCACAGTGGGCATAAGGTAAGAATGGATAATATCAGTGTTAATAAGATATTAATGTTCTTTTGGTCTACACATTCCCCAAATTATTAGATTTAAAGTTTAATGAAGGTTTTTTAATTTAACTTATTGAACCTTATATCTGTAAAGTAAACCTTTGGACAATAAAATGTTTTCTCGCTTTGTTACTAGTCATCTAGGGACGCTTCATCTAGTAAATTCATACAACGAGTTGAGCATGGAAAATTGTGTTTCCTTTCCGATCAAATTAGACCTAACTAGGTTGCATAAAGCGAATATATATATGTGTATATATATATTCGGGGTCTGATTACGTCCATCAGCGGAAAACCTTTTTTCTCCCTTCGCGTTGAGTCTAACCGTGCACTTCCGGCGGTTGTTTGGCTGGCTGTTTGAAATGAGATAGCTGGCTCTATAAAGCATACTTTAAATGCTTAAATGGCAGGTTTATTAAATGTGGAAACCCGCTGTGGAACAAGAAGAGTCCTCTAGACTAGTACACGGGACCAACTTCGCCCTCTCGACTCCGTACTATGTTCAAAAAGATGACTGAATTTGGTCCAGATTCCGGGGGGCGAGTTAAGGTAACGCAGCGCTGTGCTACAGCCTGAAAACATTAACTCATTGTACGGCTTTCAACCTTAAAGCTGCAGTTTTCTTTCTTCTGGTATTCGGCGGTGTTTTACCGAGGAACACATTCCCATCTTTCTGTATGTATTCCCTCTGTGCTCCGCAGGGAGTGACCATTGTGAAGCCTATCGTGTTTGGGAACGTCGCCCGCTACTTTGGGAAAAAGAGAGAAGAGGATGGACACACACATCAGTGGTCTGTGTATGTGAAGCCTTACAGAAATGAGGTGAGACACACTGTCCTATCAAGGCTGTCACTTTACCCTTTTAAATGTCATCAATAAATACACAGTGTTCCTCCAGGATATGTCCGCCTATGTGAAGAAGATCCAGTTCAAGCTACACGAGAGCTACGGCAACCCGCTGAGAGGTTAGTAGACCACCATGTATAACGTAACGCCATCATACAGGCAGGTGCAGTTGTCTGTCTGACCCACTGTCTTTCTCTCCCTTCCAGTGGTGACAAAGCCTCCGTATGAGATTACAGAGACGGGCTGGGGGGAGTTCGAGATCATCATCAAGATCTTCTTCATTGACCCCAATGAGAGATCCGTGAGAGCTCGATTAACAACATGATAATAATTAGTGTTCAGTATGCATGCATGTGTGTGCTTACATTGATCTGTGTGTGGTAGGTCACTCTGTACCATCTGCTGAAGCTGTTCCAGTCAGACTCCAGTGCCATGCCTAAGAAGACAGTTGTCTCTGAATTCTACGATGAAATGGTACGCCTGCTTTGGTGCTGTAGTTTATATATGACTTATATCACAGTGAAAATGTAGGCCTATTCCTATCCATTACATCCACTCATATTCAATGTTGTCACCATAAATGGTAGAT